GTGCATACCTCTACCAAATGATTTGTGCAGAACAGCAACAGTCTGGGTAGTATTGTAGGAGCATGGAGTGGGCACACTGCCTGTTTAGTTTTTAAAAAACTCATTATTAAGCAAATGTGTAGAGTATTAAGGAAATTCGTACAGTATGTCTGATGGTATGAGTGTATGGGTGCTGTGTTGTGGTAAAAAGAGAATTGGTTTATGCTGGGTATTTTTGCATACTTTAGGCTCCTGTATGTTTTTGGTTTTTTTTTTTTAATTTATATTTATTTCTCATCAGAGCTTAGAGTAATTTTAAAGTTATATAACCCATGATTTAACGAAACCTACTGTCAGCATCTGTTGTAAACATATGTTTACAAAACAAACTCTTGAATACTTGATACTTGGAAATAAAAAATAGCATATCATGTGTGTTGATTGGGTCCAGATCCTCTCTGATTTCAATGCAAGACTTACATGTTTTCATTTCCAGTACATATAACCACACAAAAAAAAAATCTTTCCGATCCCCCCACGTTAGCAGTGCCCAACACCAGAGCTTTGAACCAAGGAGAGAGGATGAAATGGGATTTGCGGCACATCCCAGGTGCTGTCGCCGGTCGAAGAGGGAACGGGTGCGCTCCCGGCAGCGCAGGGAGCGGCCAGGCGGGAGGAGAGGCGCTTGTGGCGCGGCTCCGCACTGACACCTGCTGCCCGAGCGGCTCTGGGCACTGCGGGCACGTCAGGCTGCCACTGCAGCCCCTCGGGTGGGACACATCATTTCTGCAATTACTCTCTGGCTTGTGCCCTATTCACTGCACATCGGTTCTCACTGAAAAATTATATCAGGGCACACAAACAGGACTGGGTTTTCTGAAACTAAAGGAAGACGTTTGTTACAGCACCACATGTACCCAGGCACCCACGGCTGCTCAGGGCTCAAGTCTAGTCCTGGGCAGATCTTCCTTGGACAAGGCTGTTGCACCTCTTGGGTTCTCAGCCCTGACTGTTTTACACAGATCCCCTCTGACTGCGCTTGTGTGACTTCAGTGTAGACAGCTGCAGGCATCTCAAGGGATTCTGGCTGAGAGAATGGAGGTGGTCTGTGCTCAGACCTGCACTCTAAAATACCTTCCTTCAACTGTCACAGGAACCTACAAGTGGCTGAACTCCAGAATAATGCTCTCATGCAAGTGTTTGTTTGTTTCTTTATTTGTTTTTTGCAAAGCTGCTAGTGTGCATTTACCTCAGTAACACCAGGATTCACCTACTCATAACAGCTCTAAGTGAGTCCCTGCCCATGGTGGGGGTTTTTAAGGCTGCTTCTGACCCAAGCCACTCTGTGATTCTGTGTCTAGTTCTGGAACTGAAGCACTACACATCTTTGCTCTTCTGCAGTGCTCTCAGTTGCTAGGCAGTCTCAGAAAGTGCCTCCCACTGTCCTAGGATGGGAGGGCAATACTGGCTGCCTTATCTTAAATTCCAGAGGGAACTTTTTGCATAACATTGCTACCTCCCAAAGATGTGCAAGTTTTAAAGTTCTGTCCATCTCCAGGAGCCCTTCAGAAAGTCTTGAACTATGTCCTGCCTTTCTGAATAGACACATCTCTACTGCTCTGCCAATCACAAAAAGCTAGGAAGGTCATCCTCTTGGCCCTCCCCCATGTGAGGAGCACTTGCCAGATTTAGGCACTTGCTTCATTCCCAAGCCTGCAACTGCCTGTAAAAGCTTCCTGTCACACCATGGACTCAAGGATTTGACTGCTTCAGCTATGGGACAAGAAGTAGCGTGCAGAAAGAAATACAAAACAAACAGCGACACGCTGCTTAGGCTGCATACTTAGAAATATGACAGATTTTGGTCTCTTTAACTTGGTTTAGCTTTACATTTGGTGCATGTTTCCAAGACAGCAAGGATGAGAGCTCGTTGCTGTCTGTACCTCTTGCCTACAGAATGAGTGTCCTTTATTCTTTCTTTCCTCCATACTCCTGTAAGAGACCTGTAAAAAAGGCTCCACCTGGTTTAGAAGGTAGGGCACTGTTTAGCTGATAGTTTAGATGACTGAGTACTGTCCTAGAAGAAAGAAGGGAAACAACTTTCAAACAATAAGATGCTCTTTCTGCCATTTGCTCAATGAGTACTTTAAGCTCTCAGGTAAGGAGGAAGGGCAAGTGGGGTGAATCCATGGACCACACTGCTGCCCTTCTCTTATCTGTGCCCCAGCATTAAGAGAGAAAGCACCTTGCTTGGTTCTTTCAAAGAACATAGGCTACATTGTTGGTGCTGGATAATTCCCTGCACAAAGGTACAAGAGGTGGTTGTGTGGGACATTGCTTCAATTTGCCTTTGTCCTTCAAGTCCTCCCAAACTCGCTGGCTCAGCCTGCTCTGCACCCTGCTTTGAGATACATCCTGTGCTTGCTAGTGTGCTTCAGGGCAGACTTCTCCCAGGGCTCTACCTGACATTGCAGTGACTGCTTTTTGAACACTTGGATTCATCCACTTTCCTGATCCCTGCAAATATCACATGTAACTTCATGTCTGCAGGAGCATCAGAGTCCCAGGACTATGTAAAAGAAAGAAGGGTTCAAGAAGCACAGATTCAGAGGCTGAGTTTAGGTATGAAAGTACTCTTATTCACAGGCCATCCAACAAACATAGTTCGTGTAAGAGGGAGTTTACCTTGAAAGGTAAGTTCCTTTTCGTGCTGACTCTTGTACAAGGAGACACAAGTCCTGACTAGTGGTTCACTCTTGGTAAGCGCTGCATGTCTGGTCTGCAGTGCTGTGCTGTCACAGGGAATGCTGTGCAGGGAAGAGAGAAAGCAGCAAAGCAAGACATGGCTCCTTGAAACATTTCACTGCTTCTGGGAACTGCTGGTTGTGCAGCTTGGTGCATGGAGTTTAAGGAAGAAAGGACCAGATGAATTTGGAATTAAAAAAAATTAAAATCACAGCATGTCTTAAACAACAACAACAACAAAATACATTACTCACATCTCCAGGAATAATTTCTACCTAAAATAATGTGTGTTATTTTGTTACCTGACACTTTCAATGCGGATGGATTCTTAAAACTGGAACTGTTAACATATTTTTGAAATAAAACTTATTCAGGAGGAACAGTGGATCATGTGGACTTCTCTGAAGCAGGTAAAGTAAAACACTTTTTATTTCAAGAAATATTGCTTCTAGACTTTCCCGAAGCCAGAATTGTACTATAAAAGTATCACAGAAATATTATACAAGATTTAAAAACACAGTTTGTATCCTAGTAACTTAAAACCTATGTACAAATAGCATCATTCATGACCATAAATATGTGTTTCTATCAATCAGCCCATGACACATACATCAGATAAAGAACTAGTAATTTTAACATATTTACAGAGTCCATCAAAAAGACTGCTTCTTAAAATTATTAAAATCCTACTAAAAGAATCTGCTTTTTAAAAAGTTTCAACTTAAAATACAATGCAATGAATGTAAGTTTAACCTGCAGTGCTTGCAATAGCCAAAAAATATTCTACACTAAATAACATGTAACAGGTAGGAAACACACCCATGAGTTGGACACTGTGGAATTACGTCTGTTTGAGGTAATTCTCTTTTGTTGCTGTTGTGATAATTATTTAGAAATGTATAAAAGAAGCAAGGGAAAATATTAAGTTTTGACTAATACAGATTTTCAAAGTAATTTTTGTATTATACTTCATATAATTTAATGTTTGGTAAAGTTCAAGAAAAAATTTAGAATATAACAACAAAAATTATTACTAAACTACTACTTTTTACTCTTATGTGCCTTTTGTGTCTAAAATAATGGAAACCTAACATGATTTTATCATTCCCTTTAATGCCTGTTCAAAACAGAAAAAGAATTTAAGACTCAAAATGATAATAATGCTTTCAAGATATTGCTCAGAGTAATAAAAATCAGGTGGGGCAACAAAAACATTTATGTACTGATGTAAACCTTTCTACCAGTATCAGCAAAAAAAAAAAAAAGTCAGAAAAATTAATGGAATTTTAATACTGACAATATTAACATATAGGGAAACAATCCAATTTAAACAAATCCTTCTACAGTTAACAACCATTAGCCATACCTTTCTGAGAGTAAATTTAATAAAGCAACACAAACATGCAATATTTTTGCTAAGATAATATTTGAAGAGTCTGTTTCCACAATCCATGGTGTTTACCTCTTTCAGGTCAGTCTGTTTATTGGTTTCACAATTTCATAAGACAACGAGCAAGCTAAGAACCTGTAAGGTATTAGATGCATAAATGGTATGGCATACAGATGTTAAAAGTGCATTTTACTTGAAAGCATGGCATTAAGAATTGCCAGTGGTTAAAATAATTGATAAAAAAGACATTATGCAGGCATACTGGGTGAACTGAAACATTCAGTCGTGGTGGGATCATTTGGAAATAGAGAAAGTGATTTGGACATCCTTTTAGAAGAAATAATTTTTAGTTTTCAGAGAATGTGCTACTGGATTTGAAAGTTAACACTGTTTCTTTTAATGGAAAACTGGAAATTTTGTTTCCCAGTGTGGAGAAGTGAAAGCATGTGCATGTGAATAAAAAATGCACACAGACAAATACTGAACTGGGCTCAATTTAGCTGCAAAATGTATCTACAATAAACGTGGAATGTCAGTTGTCTTGATTACCTTTATTAGTTTGCTAAAAAGAAAAAGGAGAACTTATGTAATGGTTTACAACTTGATCTAATCCAAAGAGAGTGAAGCTGAGGCACTGCCTTCTGCATTTAGGATTTGTGAACTTTCTCCTGCAAGACTCTGTTTGGCTTTTTTTAAGAAAGTTCCTTCTTCCTGGGTACTGACAGGTGAATCCCTAATGGATATGTTTACGGTCTGACGAACGAAGGGTTCATCAGACCTCATGGGAAGATACATTTGGTCTTCAAATATATCTTCCACAGTGTCACTATCCTGATGAGCGTCTTTTTGAGGAATGCTGATGGGCTGCAGCATGAAGCTATGCCGGGACTCCAACTCTATCAAACCATTTCCACTGAAATCCATATCAAAACGGTCCGATTCTTTATCCTCCATCCATTTTTCAGCTGGATGACTATTTCTCCAGTGTGCGTCATTCAAATTACTTTTCTCAGGAATATCATTGTTTAATTCAAGTTTCTTCTCCTGACTTAAATTCACCGTGCTCAAAGCAAGGGCTGCAAAGTCTGTTGGCACAATAAGCTGCAACTCTTCTGCAGTCAGGCCGCTGGACTCCTCAGCAGAAGTCATCTCCACCAAGGTGAACGGCGTGGATGATTCCTCCCCGTTGCTTTGACCAGTGTTATCCTTGTCTGGTTTATTTTGCTGGTAGTAACTGTTCAGCAGTGCAAACATTCTATCTACATCCTTCAAGTAATTAGTCCAGTCAGCCAGACTAAGTCTAAAGTTGTGTCTGTATTCATATACACTTTCATTCACACTGTACAAGTCTTCCAGTCCTTGCCAGTCAATGTCGCCAGTGAAAATGGGCAGCTTAGCCTTCCCATCCATCCCATAATTGTCCTCTGTTGAAAGAAAGAATAAAGCCTACTGGTGAACACTATTAAAGGTGCAAGCAAAGCTTCCATGTGCATTTCTACTTCAATTAGCTTGAAAGCAGCACTGTTCATAAAGCAGGTAACTCGAAGTGTAAGACACCACCTCTTCTGTCACCAGATGAATGGTTCTGCCCTTGGGATGTTCACAGCCCCTGCTAAACACACAGCAATTACCCCCTGTGTCCTGCTATGTCCCTGGGCTGAGTAAATAAGAGCAAAATCTGGTCTAATGGGGCTTTGTGATGACATTCAGAGATAAGTCCTTCCTCTGATATTTCAAGGCAGGAAAAATGTTTCAATACACAAAAAATGCATTTGCCTTTCTTGAGCATTCCAGCAAAACATGCAATAACCAAACAATGGTTAAGTATAAAAGAGGGGACTAACTCTGAAAGCCATTGGTGACCTGAACTTCAATGCCCACACAAATTTTGTTTCTGGATAGCTTAAAAATACGGTTTACAAACTAACTAGACAAATTTTATTTAGTAAATGATAGCCAAAGGGGGTTTTAATCTATTTCATAAACATTAATTTTAGTTTTCATGGAGCAATTAGGGGAAATGAAAACTGTAAAAAATTGGTGTGAATTAATTTAGAGGACTGCACCACTTTGTGAAATTATGTTAAAACATAAACAGAGAATCTTCTTAAGGTTTTGTGTTTTTAAAAAACTTTCAAAGAAAATATCTAGCAGTCTTTTAAAATAATAAGTCTGAATGAAGAGTATAGATATGGGTCTATAAGTAACAACTGAGCTTCATTTTTTATTGATCACAGCCAGAAAATGCAGACACAAAAGAAACCCATTTCTGAAATTTTTAGAAAATTCACTACAGTAACTATAGTGACTCAGATTATCACCTGTGGTGTGAAGCCCATTTTATACTGAAAAGCAACACTGAGCAGCACCAATTTATTTAATTCACTGGGCAGACTGAATTAACTGGAAAGATTTTATCAACAAGGTGGTCTACAAGGAAAGACAAATCAAGCAATGCAAATGTCTATCAGGGAAAGTGACAATTTTGCCCTTACAAATGATATTGCAGGCAATCTTTAGTAATTAACTGACTGATAATGATTTATTCTCTTCATGAAAATTGTACAGGCAGGTAGGCTAGTAGCAATTGCTTTAGAATTTCTAAATTTCTTTAGAATTAGAAGTTCAAGTGACTATATTCCAACCATGTGAACTGAGCTCAAATCCTCATCTACATTGAGCCCTGCATCCCCAAAGATGGCTCTTAGCATCTCCATTAATCTGTTTGTATTTTAAGTTGCCTATTTTCTTTATTCAAGTAGAACAGAAGATACAACTTTTGTCTATCATAGATTACATTCTTTGCTTCTTACTAGCTTGGGATTTCACAGAAAAAGAATTTCTCTAATATTTAGTCTATCATATGGAAAAATCAGAAAAATACCATTATGGTCAGATAAAAACCTTGATATTTTCTTACAATATAGGGCCTTACTCTGCTCCCACCAAAAAAGACCATTTTCCTTATTTGAAAACAACTGAGCCTTTGCTCTTAATTGGAAATGTTTTGCAACAACAACAAAAAAAGTAATTTATTTTTTAAATATCAAATTCTAGAATTTTTCTTTTTTTGCAAACATTTGACAGTCTTCCTGATCCAGGAAGAAACAAAGGCTCTTTGGATTTAGTAGAACAGCTATGACAGAGCATCTTCTTTCTTTCCTGAAGCAGACAAGAGAAATTAAATCATGGCATGGTCACATGAGAGCCATCTTTGTAAGTCACATTTTGGATAATTTGTTTCCTGAAACAAAAGATAATTAAATACCACAGAGATTTCAAGAAAGAAGATTTGCTCTTCTGGTGCTTAGAGGCATAAAGGTCCCTAGAAAACATCGTGGCAGGGGGCTGCTTTTGCAAGGAATTTAGTCACTAAACCCTCGAAGATATTAAGCACTCTGCAGATGCAACCATATTTAAATTTTTCTGTTATTATTTTCATTTGTAGGGGTTTGATTTTTTTTTCCTTTGGTAAGTCAGAGGTTGTATAGGAAAACAAACTGTTGTAGGGACAGTCATGTGGGGTGTTATGTGATGGCAGGAACTGGAACAGGAGTGATGCTCTTTGACTGGTAACAGATTTGGGGACAGACCAGGGACTGGGGGGCAAAGCAGGAGCCATAAAGGTGCATTTGGGCACAGGAGAGCCTCTGCTGCCCATCAGGGGAACAGAGGCTTGAGCTGGGTGGCAGGCTGGGCACTGGGGAAGGCTGGGGACCAGTGAAGAGGAACAGGGCTTCTGAGGAGGCTCAGCAGCAGGGCAATGGGGCTGATCAGCAAAGAATTTTCAGTGCTCCTACAAAATATCTGAAAGTCTGAGTCAGAGCTACATGGTCCTTCACTCTGGATCTTTTTTTTGCTCTCTAAATGTGGCACTGTTTCTGCAGTCTCAGAGAAGTTTCACAGCTGGGAAGGCACTGGGAATTGTTCCATGATCTTTGTGTCACACAGAGGAAAATAGCTTGTTTGAAGAGAGAGATAACTTATGGTCATGTATGTTAAACAAACAGGGAAGCAAAGTCTTAAGGTCCCAGAGCTATTTTGGTTGACTGAGCAAATTACTTCACAGTTTAATTCCACAACTTGCAGTTAGCATGAAAAGTCTCCCACTGAAATTAAAGCAAACAGAGGGAAAAGGAGAGGAAAGAAGAAGTTTTTCCCCTGTAAGAAATTTTGTTACAAATAAGCATGAAATTGGAAAGTGCAGATGAGTTGCATTTGAGAAGCAGCATGGCAGTAGTTTCCTTGATCAACATTTTTGAATTTCTCAGCTATGACATAGATCCAAAAGAGAAAAAAATTGTTGCTAGCTGTTCAAAGCAAAACTTGCTCATTTTTTTGTTGTTTTGTTGTTCCTTTGTTTGTTCATTTGTAGATCAAGCTTTAGTTAAGCTTTACTCTCCATTCATCCTACCCTAGCATACCCTATAATGCCATTTATGCCTGTTTAATCTCAAAACTAATAAGAGATTTGAATATGTCTCTTTTGAGACTTAAGACAAGTGGTTAAAATCATATCCTTGGTGGCTTCAAAAAACTTCAGACAAGTAGGAGAGGAGAGAGGAATGTGCAGTTCACACACCCTGTTTTCAAACTTGTCTGCAGAGCCACACCCTGTCCATCACAGGGCAGAGGTGGCACCAGCTCTTCCCTGCTGAAGCTCTCTGTCCCTCTGTGCAAAGCAAACAGCATCATTCTGGCTATTTCCACATGGGCCTGTTGGCAGCACAGGCAGTGCTTTACTAACTCAGGGCATTTTGAACTGGAAACAGGTCTGAGTGAGAAGCTACATGATCTGAAGGAAGCCTAAGGAGCAGTTCAGATGACTTTCCATTGTTATTCCATTTGTCCTCCAGCAACAAAAGGATCCTCTAGTAGATCATTGTAATGACTTCTGATAAATTTGACTCGTTAATTTTTGTTTTATTTTGGTTGGTTGGTTTTGTTTTGTTTAAGAAAAGAAAAACATTCCACCAACATGGGGCTTGAACCAAAATTTCAAATGTGTAAATTGAGAAACTGGATGTCTGCAATATCATGACACTGAACAATATTACTTATGTTACATTATACTGATATTTGTCACAGTAGCAAAATATTTATTGTATGTTCTTTGGTCTCATAAGTTAAAATGTTTTTGTTGCTAAACAGTGTAGGAAGAGATAATTTCAAGATTAATCCTGCATGCTCTACTATTTCATATAATCCTACAATTCAAAAATGCCATTTCTGTTAGATCTGTAGTTAAAATGAGGAATGCTTACTTACAAGGACTCCCTCTAATGAAAGACTTAAAAGCATAATTATAGGGATTACTTTCTATCATTGTAGCAACCAGTTCCCACCAGGCTGTAATGAGCAATGCAAACAGTGGGATACAAACCAAACGAAAGCTTATCATTTTCCTAGATCCCAAAATGAGGAAATACAAAATCTAGCAAAAGAAAATTTAGCTGCTCAAATTGGAGATCTATGCATTGAAATACATTAGCTTTATTGTTCTCTGGCTGCTAGAAACTAATGAAAAGGCTCTTTTCAGAAGACTCTGTGAAAAAGGTTTTATGTAGACTTGTATACCCCTTGGACTCCCTTGTTTACTTTTCAAGTAAGCAATGTATATCAGCAGCTACTCCTCCAAAGTGTATAGAGGTGAAAATATACAAAACTGATAAACTATGAAAAGGAGTCCAGTCTAAATACGACACTCCACAGATGCTAATCTGTTTTTCACCCTGAGAACAAGTACTGCTCAGTGAACAGCAAGTGCAGTACTCTTAAGATCTGCAATTTTTTCAGTCTCCAGGTTTTTGCTTTATGGTTGTCTGGTTTCAGAGACACAGGGCTCTGAATGATAAACATGTAGGTGCAATAAGTATACTTTTAAACAGAAAAAAAATATACTTTCAAAGAGATATCTGCAATGTATTCCTCAGGTTCAAGAGTTAGGTTTAAAAAACCTCATCTGGTGCCTTTCCTCAGTTCAAATAGTAGAACCTTTTTAAGGAAATTTTATTTCATGCTTGTCTGATCTGGTCCCAGCCCAAAGGAGCTTCATCTTTCTGCCACACTTAAATTGAACACTCTCCTGCTGGCTTCTGAGTACTGCTTTTGCTTAAAGTGGTATCTGCCAACATTTCGGAAAGCCAGTGAGAAGATTTTGCTTAGCTTCCATAGGTTTGACTTCCATAGGTTCTTTGTACTTCAGAAAGCCTTTTAAGCATACTTCGTTTACATTTAAAAAGCAGCTGTGAAGACCTACTAAATAAAACCAGAAAAACACCTACAACCCATCCAAAATCAACACGATAACACAAGCGCAACCCAAAAGAGGTGATTCTTCCTGTGTAATTTTCCTTGGGCAAACATCTAAGGACTACAGGCATGAAATATGAGCTGTATGAAGTCTTGCTATGACAATGAGCTATGTTAAATGCAGAATGGTAGATCTAAACAACAATGGCCAAGTTCAGTGTAGGGTAGTTAGAAAATGCATGCATCAAAAGCTATGCTGTGTGCAACATGGCAGGATACAGACATTAGTTGAAATGGGACTGGAGTCATGCAATTATTTGGAAAGAAGCTGCTGAGGAGAATAAAAAAGTGTGGATACCTGTGTGGATCATAGCTTCCTCCATCTTTATTTCCTGATATAGGAAAATACAAGAGTAACTTTTGTTAGTGTTTAGAACTTGTAAAACCATTCAAAATGTAGTTTTCCATGCACAGCATCTAACTCCTAAAAAGAAATGTACTGTGTTAAATAAAGACAGAGCTGCAGTCCAACAAAGATTTCCTGGAAGTTTTACATAAAAGAACTGAAAACCCACAGGTTTTCAAAAATAATAAAACCCCAAAACAATTAGATATTGTAAAAAAGAGAAAAACATTTGTAGATGTAGAAAGAGATACAAAGAGGTAACACCACAAATTATGTAGAATGGAGCATTCCTGTGAAAAAATAATAAATCACAATGTTCAATCAACCAAAGTTAGGTGCAATGAATTCCAGAGACTTGAAGTAAATATACCAGCTTTGTTTTACCCAGAGACTCTTGTAAAGAAATGGTCCTTTCTTCAAAAATGAAGGAGACTACTGGTGATTAGAAGTATGCAACGTTAAGTCTCGGTTGTGGTAAGGAACCTGAAGTTGTTGACATAGGCAGACAGCATTTGAAATAAACACAGGATTTAATGCCTCACCTGATAATGGGAGGCAAAAACTAATGGAATAAACCCTGCAAGAGAGAAAAGAGTTATGGCTGTGAAGATCTGCATGCGGCTGTTATTGATTAGCTCCAATAACGATATCCCTTCTGCAGCATTTCTGTCAAGTGATTGGTTTTGCCATCAATATCTGTCAAGAATAACCTGTGCAGACTTGCCAAGAAGCCTCCTGGTCATGCAGATGTGCACGATTGGTGTATATGGATAATTCCAAATTGTTCAGAGCAATGCTGGGGAGAGTGACACTTCATGGATACAATTAGAACTTAAGTAGGAGAAAACAAAGTTAATAAAATAGAAATAAACACTACTATTTATCTTGTACCTGTTTCAAGTCCCTTTGGCCTTGGATTGCACTGCTTGTAACCTTGACAACTTCTCAGTTCCATAAGCTGGACGTGTAATTGATTCAAAATGCCCCTTTCCACTGTATGAACTGTATTGGTCAGCTGAAAAGAGAGGAACCAAGGGAAATTATACTTGTTAACAAAAATTAAGGAAACCCCAGCGGAGTCCAGTGAATGACATTTTGTAACAGGGAAAGGGGTTTACCTGATAGGGATCAGTGTTCATATCAAAATATTCCAAGAAGCCAGTTGCAAACTCACAAAACAGAAAATTGTGGGTGTCATTAACTGTTCGCAAACACCAGTAAGTGTTGTTGTTGGAGCTTGTGCAAGCACAGAAAGAGCCCACTGTAATTATACAAACAAGTTATTAGTTTTCAGTCAAAAATAATACGCTTGTTTCTTCTACTAGTACCTTTAATCACAGTAATAAAATACTAGCATTGCATTAAGTTTTTATTTAGATTTATTTAGATTTATTTAGATTTATTTAGATTTATTTAGATTTGGGTAATGTGACTAGCTGTGAACAGACTTAATAAAAATAGTAATAGTATTACAATACAGTAGCCCCTCTTTAGATTGTGAACTCTGTCAAAAGAACATTTTTTACCCCATTACTGGAGCATTGTCAGAATGCACGGCAATATGAGAACTCTTTTTATAACTTTTTGTTACTCTGCAGTTAAAAATAAATTGACAATGTAATTGTCTTTAAAACAAAAGTCCTGCATATGACTACTTTAGGAACATTTTAAAATGTAAAGTACATATTAGCAGAACTCCTAGTACAATCAGAACAGATTATCACTAGGAGACAATTTCTTTGCATTCTCCAAATGCAAAGTTGTTCTTAGCAAATTATTAGTTTGGAGTCAAATATATTGTAATTTCATCACCACCTGATCTTGAAATTTCTGAAAATAAGGTTTTCAGTCACATTTTTTTCTTCATCATCACAAGTGAGAAAAATACCAATTTTAAATGCTGAATACTGAGAAAAGTTCAAGTATGTCTCAATGGGATAGTAATCTACATACCCTGAAGTTTAAAGAGACTTAAAATATCCTTTGCCTCTAATATTTTTTTCATATACACAAGTGTTATGGTTGTGATTTTGAAAGTATTTTAGCATACAAAAAGTAGAATAATGGGAAGAAGTCATAAGGGTAGTTTCTGCATTTTATTAATGATATGTTGTTTATTATATACTTTGAAATAAAAATGTTAAAGTAGACCTTTTATGTGCTGAAATTTTTGACAGAATTAAAGGCCAGAATAACGCTCTGATTGCATGAAGTGGAAAACCAGTGATACAGCAGTATCATGGATAACCTAGATCACATCTGCATTTTGACACAAGACTCACAGTTCCAGAATGGTGCTGTTTGCCAGTGGTTGTTGTCATGGGTAAAACAGGTCAGCCCGGGAAGGCTGCACTCATCTCCCTTCTTCTGGCGCCTTCTTCCCTTCCGCTCTTTCTTCCTTCTCCGGTTCTCTTTGAACAGCTGCAGTTTGCCATCTACCTCCTGTGCTGCTTCTCTGTTCAGAGAAGAAGATGGCCATGGATGACTAAGAACAGTCTCTATTTGGTTAACAACAGCACTAGCAGTTTTTACATCTTTCTGGAATTTATAAAGGTGGAAGGATAAGAACAGGGCCTTCTAGCTCAGCTTTCTCAGCTGTTGAGATAAGCTTCAGCAATCTTGAGAAAAGATGCACTGCTGCATTTTGGTTTTACTGAATCTTTTAAAAAAATATTGGCCAGTTTCTGAAAATACTATTTTCATCCTTTTTATATCACTAGGTTGAAGAAATATCATCCATAAACTTCCACAAGTTGGCCCAAAACTACTGAATGTTTCTTGTGATAGCTTGCTACATGTGACCTTTTCTTCCCTTCACCTCTCCACAAAAAACACAACAAAACCCAAACCCAAAAAACTCCTCAAATGCCCAAAACTACATTTATCCAGGCACCAAAAAGTCAGTTGTGAGAGTGAGAGGTTAATAACAGCCTTACTTGAAGGGATGAAGATGGCTCTTGAGTTTGTCTTGGGCCTTTACCCCCTTCTCTTTGTTGTAATAGCTACAGGGAAAAATTTTAGGAATTATCAAGTCATGAAACTGTTTTCAACACAAAACCAAAACAGAAATATACTATTGTTGACATTTTCTTAAGGAACTATACAGACTAAAAATTTTCACCTAATTTAAGAAAGTTCTATCTGTGTGATCCTATGCTAGTTTATAGCAGAACTGCAGCTGGATTCAAACATGTTAGTAGAATACAAACACATGTAATCTCAAAATGTTAACATTTATCTTCTTGTGGTTCATAGTAGCTTCTACTCATATCTAACTAAAATAGACACCTACAATTGTTACAAATATCAGAAAAGCTTTGGGTTTTTCTTTTCAATCTCAAAATCCTTGGAAAGTGTATAAGCCTTAGAAATCAGAGTATCATTCAGTATTTAGTGCCACCTCTCTTACCTCTGTTTACTACAATCACATTCATCTGGTTTTCTTCTTTTTAGGTGTCCTCTAACTTCCCTTAAATTCTTAATTTTGTCTTGGAGAGCTTCAATCTGCAAAGATATTATTTCTGAGTCAGAATTATTCTTTGAAAAGGTATCAGTGTAAAGACTTTACTGAGATTGTAAAGTACCTCTTACCTCCTTATCAATGTAAGCCTTGTGATCCTTCCAGGCTCTTGCAGACTGGTACAGCTCCCTCTCACAGTGAATAGTGTCATTTGGAAGAATGAAACATCTGTAGATGTGAGTTTAAGAAATAGGAAAATGAAGGTGACTCATTTCCCAGTTACCTACCCATTTTTTCTCTTTCTTCCAACATTCCTAATCAATTTTTAAAAATATATTCTGTTAGAAAATAAATAAAAACTCTACAAGGTCTTCCTCTGTTGACTTAATAGCAACAATTGCTTTTATCTGTTTTCTCTGGAAAACTTGTCATCCACAACAGATGGTCTGTGCCTGCTAAGCAAAAAATGCAATACATTCTTATTCAATCAGAAATTAAATTGAAGCTGAAGTAAAAATCTGCTCAGAATCTAAAGCCCCTTGTTAATCAAATGTGCCATTGTTTGTTTAACCACCAGCTGCTGAGAAATACGTTCTTGCCACATGAATGTGGCTCATCTTCCCAGCATGCAAAACACTCAAGAAGAGAACATAGTCAGAGGGCTGAAGATCAATATAATCAATAAAGACCAAGAAGCACCAAAGTAGAGGTTCTAACACGTCATTAAACAAAAAGTCTGCACAGCACTGTGCTTGAAAAACTGTGCTTGAAAAAACAGCTCTACCAACAGGGAAAAAAAAGCACAAGAAAGACCAAGGTAGTGAACTGAGACAGAAAGTCCAGCAGAGTGCAGGCTGGGCTTTCAATGTTGCCATGCTGACAAACAGAAATTCCGTAATTAGAGAAATAAAATTTTATAGACAGAACTTTTCTTGGGTCCTCCATCATCAGAACCCTTCTTTTAATTTTTAAGAATAACAGGAAAAAGAGGTAGATGCTTATCTTTGTTAATGTTATCCTATTCTGGTTTTTTTCTTCACTCAAAAAATTCTGAAAGCAATGTTGTTCTATAAAACTGTTCTACCTTTTATGGAGAAATCATATTTTTTCTGGAAAGCTGTTTAAAGCTTTAATAATTCCATGGTTGGAAATTATCAATGTAAGAAAGGATAATTTCTACTATTCTCCAAAAAAAAAAAAAGAAGAAAATAAACTCTATTTACATTTTACATATAATAAAAGAGATTCAGAAAACTAACCTTTGTGTTCTCCAAAAAAAAAAAAAAAAGAAGAAAAAAAACTCTATTTACATTTTACATATAATAAAAGAGATTCAGCAAAGTTGTTTGCTTTTTTTTTTTTTTTGCCTACATATTCCTGGATTTTGAAAGAAATCATATTAACTTTTTAAAATTAAAAATTATTTTGAGATGTTTGCCTTTTCATTCAGACTTAATGTATCTTGAATAAACAGGTCTAATGTATCTTAGCTCGTGCTAATGGCTGCAAACAACTAAGCATTAAGAAACATGATGTAGCTGATCTAATCTGCCCTCATGGGACTTCAGTTGTCTCAGATTTAGGCCTCTATGCTAAACTGGTAATCTAGACTTTATAATAAACAGCAGAAACATCAGCTTAACAGGGTGATTAATCCATCATAAGATGCATATTTTGATACAAGAGATGAATTTCCCTCTGGAGATGCCTACTTTTCCCTAGAAATAAAACATAAACCAGAGGCCTCTATTTAAAATACACATACTAAATATAAATTATTCCACTTCATAAAAAATACAACTCAGGTGTATCTAAAATCAGCTTCAAGTTCATAAATATTGTACAGGGGGAGAAGGAGTACAGCTAGAAAATGAAGATTTGGTTTTAAGAAACAGAAATACCATACAGAGGAAGCAATCATACTTGTGTGTCACTCTGACAGAGCTGGGTTGACCCATAGCATCAGTGCCATCAGCCACCATTGTGTCACGAGCAGCACGAGCAGTTCCCTCTCCTTCCTCCTCATTTCCAACATTGTGGCGCTTGGTGATACTTCTGGTCTTCAACACCTGCAGCTCTTCTTCTTCCAGATTTATGTCATATATCTCACCTTCAAATTCCACAGACAAGGACCGGGTTTGGCGAGTGTGAACAAATCGAGGTTTGTATTCTGAACCAGAAGAAACATTCATAGTCAAATATATGTACATATATATATGTATGTATATGTATATACATGGTCCATGCCATGAATATGGCATGCCATGAACACAAAACATATTCCAAAGAGAAAAATGCGGTTCAATAAAACCAGTTGATTTTTTCTGTGACTTTGCAGAAACTTATTTAATGTTTTATTGATACATTGTGCCCCACACTTCCATGATTAGCATGAAATTTTGGTTGCTTTGAGGTTTGCATTTTATGTTAGTCTGATCTTATGCCACAGTTAGCATCTATATCTTCAAGTAAAAAACAGTATCTCAGATATCTAGAAAGAGACACTAAAAAAAAATCAGAGAACACAGAATTAGAAACCATTTTCGAAAATGAAATCATTCAGTTCTGTGGACCAAGGCCACTACCTGTAAATTGGCATGTGACATACTAATGTAGACTTTAGGGTAAAAATTAATTTTTAAAAGGTTAACTCCTTTTCCTTTTTAAAGGTAAGAATTTAGAGGGTAAGAATCCATCAGATATCAGTATCTGTATGTATCTATATGTATATATGTACATATACTTCCACATATATGCCATCTGTATTTATGTGTGCAAGCCGTAGACCACCAAAGAGTTGCTGCATTGCAGAGCTACAGTGAGATTAATTATGCCACTTTTGCCCCTTGAAAGTTCTGAGTTTAGTAGGGTTACAGATCTTTTAGTTACTGTGTATACAAGTAAGACTAACTAGAACAATTAACTCTTCTGAGGGGTCTTTAATTTAATGTACAAGAGAACCTCTCTTTGGTCTCAGTCTGAAAAACCTTACTTACACTTTTTACTTCTTTTGCTAAATGCACTTGACCCAAACCAAGCTGATAAAACTGACAGTCAATACCACTCAAAAGCATGCTCTGTCTAGCAATGATGCCTTGCAAAGCCACACACAGAGAGCTCTAGACATACAAAATTAAGCTTGTAAAAAGTCAGTTGTAGGGCATTTCCATTTGTTGCATCTATGCTGAGCACACCCATGTCACCTAACAATAATTTATCCAGCAGAAAACAGCAGCTGTAAGAAAGTACTGCCTTTGGCAGGCAGCATCAGTTTTAGTGAAGTTTTTATGTTAGTGTCTTTGAGAGACTCAGATTGAATCTTTCCTGCAAGAATCTTTTAAAGCAGAAGACAGTGAGCCTCATTGAACTTTTCATTCAAACCACCCTGTTCTAAACCTTTTCAGCAATCACCTGCTGTCAGGTTAAAAAAGTCTCAGTCAAGACAATGAGGACATTCATCTTCATCAACAGAAAACTAGTTTCAAAGCATCTTGCTGGTCTGTAACCATATTACTCTTTAATAAAAGTATGTAGAAAGATTCAAACAAGTGGCTGAAAGGGTGGAATATATAGGCATCTCATGCATGTGTCATCTGAAGACAAGCGCTGGTCTGTAACCATATTACTGTTTAATAAAATTATGTAGAAAGATTCATAGAGTGAGATGGGAAAATTTCTTGCATTTGACAGCCTCTGATGATACTGGTTAGTAAACAAGTAGCTGAAAGGGTGGAATATATAGGCATCTCATGCATGTGTCATCTGAAGACAAGCCTGAATTAGTAATTCCATTCAAAATATTTCATCATTATGAGTCTTTCCCTGCTCTACTCAGCAGAGTGTTAAGGTAGATTTGGAGGAGGCAGGGAAGGGAAGAGATGAAAGAATGTTGTAAAGAGTTAAAGCATAACAAAGAAACTTTTTCTGATGCCTCCTTCAGATGTTTTCTATCCTTCCCCTACTTTCTCTCCCCAGGTAACTTGCTCCAGTTACAATCCCCTTTCAGCCCTTGCTGGTGACTTAGCAGCACCTCTTTTGAAGGTACACAGAAGGTATTTCCCCACAAAAATATCATTTGAGAAAACATTCCCCACTTTGAGAATCACCCTGGAAGTCTGTGGCATGTAGACTTTTCAGCAGAGCTCTGCCTGTACACACTGTGAGGTTCCTTAGATCGCACTAAACAAATGGAAGAAATTAGATCAAGACAGTATTTAGGCCAAACAATGAGACAACTTAAGACAGAAAATATTGTGGTTGAATGTACAAAGAATACCAGGGATTCTTGTTCACATCCACAGTGCAGGGGGCTTTAAATCAGGAAATATTTTGAATGATACTGACATTATTTTCTTAGTTCATAGACATCTGTGCAGCACCTTCTAACTTCTGTGTTTCTCATACAACTTCACTGACATCTTGCTTTGAAGACCCATCTTTATTTAATTCCCCAGTTTTGTACTCTAGTTAGAGAGCAGGAGAACACAGCCTGCTCTTAAACAAATTCTAAAATGTGCTTCTATTGCTTCAGCTACAGAAATTCACTTGCATTGCTGGGCAGAGAGAAGAAAAATCGTCCTCCATTTAAAATCATAGCCTCTTCAAATAGGCTTCTTTTGTAGAAATCATTAGCAGAAAGAAACCCAAGTACCATAGTCCTAAACCCTCTTGTACAATCCCTTCAGCCCAGGCTCCACTAGAGGACACTGTGATCTCGCTCGTGTCCCTGCGGGGATCCCGCGCCGGGCAGGGAGAAGGGAGCGAGAGCTGGGCAGAGCTTCGGTCCGAGAGCAGCCCCGCAGCGCCTCGGGGAGCAGATGCGTGCGGGGCATCACCAAACTGCGACTGAATTCAGCCCTAACCATGCAATAAAACGCTTGCCCTGGCCACCTTGGCAGTAGCGGCCCCGAATCACCGCGGAGGCCACCGGGCTGTGGTGTCTGAGCTGTGCGAGAGGTGGCACCAGAGCATCACCGCCACCAGCGCCGCACCGCAGCCTAAGGATGCTCCTCACCCTGATCCAAAGGATAAATATCATTGTTGCTGCTGTTAGAATCACAGAACGGTTTGTGTTAGAAAGGACCTAAAAGAATACCCAGTTCCAGCCCCGCTGCCTTGGGAAGGAACACATGCCGCTAGAACAGGTTCTCAAAGATCTGCCTTACCTGGTCTTGAACACATTCAGGGATGGGACATCCACAGATTCTCTAGACAACCCTCACAGTACTGAAATTCTTCCTAACATTTAACCCAAACCAACTCTGTCTAAGTTTAAAGCGATTTCCCCTTGTCCTATCACTAAATGCCCTTGTATAAAGTCCCTCTCCAGCTTTAGGCCCATTCTAGGTACTTATTACAGAGGCAATTATGCAGAACCTGACTAACAATTCTGGACATCTTCATTAGACACGAAGGTGAAAGCAAGAGCACACTGGTAGCAAAATGCTCTGCTAGCCATTTCCCCCTTCTCTCTGTCTCAGAGTCCAAGAGATCAAGTAACACTTACTTTGCACATTAGGGTTTCTCAGGAACTGTCTTTGATTTTTCCTTTGGGTCCTGCTGTTCCGGTAATCAGTGTCTCCACAGTTGCAGTCTTTGTCTTTGCCGCCGTAGCCCCGGGAGTGGAGGCTGCGCGTTCTCTTTCTGATGGCGAGGATGTCGCTTGACACCTTGCACTTGTGAATTCGAAGTTTGCCAGAAGCATCCTCTGTGCACTGCCACTTCTGCGAGAGAAAGACATGAAGATGATTTCCCAGCAGCCTTCCAAACCCCTGTTGCTTTCAGGTAGACAGTAAAAGGAGACAGGTAAATTTATTTTTAAATTTAAGCAGTCCCAAATTGGGAAGAAAAATATTTTAGAGCAAAAATTCAGTCACATTCTCCACAACGTCTTTCTCATGCTAAGAAAACATAAGTCCTTCTTTGAAAAAAAATTACTTTGTTCTGTGACTTGGATTTTCTAGCATGATTCAGGGAAAAAAAAATAAAATTCCCAATCCATGAATGAGGAAGAACTAGTTCAATTGTAGAGTGTTTTGGAAAGAAAAGGACAAATTTTGGATGTAATCTATAGAAAAAATACATAAACCATTCCCTACAGCCAGCAGGTGCAAGCAAGGGGAAGAACCTTAGGGACAGTAAACAAAGAAATTATCTTGGATAAACTCCTTTGGATTTATAAGTCATAAGATTTGCATGAGACTTGGGAGGAAAAGCTCTGGAAGGAGTACCTGTAAAAAGCATTGTATGTGTGCTGAATATCAGAGCAAGCGTGGGAGAATGAAAGGAAACAGGTTTTTTTCCAGTTTGTCTGCACAATATCTGTCTGACTTAATTATCAACATCACTGAACCAAATGGAAGATTCCAGGTGGATTTTTCCAGTGGATCCCATCACTTTCACATTTCAAATTAAAAAGCAACTGGGACTTTAATTTCCTTTCCACATCATACTGTTTAAAAAAACCTAAATGTAATTTAAAAACAAAAAATGGATGGATGTTGAGAGATCAGAGCTCCTTTGCCCACACCCAAAGCTTTCCACACATGGCACTCACAATACACTACACAAAATAAGAAGTCTGTGAAGATTTTAAGTCAGTGATAGTGTGAATAACAATAGGCAGAACTAGAAATAGCTATATTTATTTTTAATGCAACCATAAATGACTATTACTCAGTTCACTATTTCATCTTAAGCCACAATGACCAGAGTTTGCATACAAAGCACTAAGCTTGGCTGGATATTGCAAAGAACAAAACTCAATAATGCTATTGGTAACTGGAACCTTTTAGCTGCAGTTTCAGTAAAGTTTCTCTGTTCCGTGTCCTTTTCTTGGTTCCCATGACTGAATAGCTTAAGTAGCTTTCTCTTGCCTCATTAATAATAACAAGACAGATGGATGCTGGTCCTAATGGAGTTGCCAACTTAATTTTTGAAATGGACACTAATATCAGAGCATGCACATTTCGGTAAGCTCCATTAACTAATGGCTGCTCTGGACTGTTTTGGGGATGCTGTCACACTGACTGAAGAATGGAGAAAGAAAACTGAGCCTCAGGTAGATTTTCTGGCCTGATAACCTGAGGAATGAGCTGATGTGAGTCTGAAGCACAGCACCATGAGTGCACTCTCTGGCCTTACATGTGGGCTGAATTAAAGATGGATTCCATGCTGAGATCCTCCTGTGGATTGGCATAACTGATCTCAGAACAGTAGGCCATGTGTAAAAGGACCTTAATTTGAACAAGTCTAATAAGTGGCAGAGAAATTACACTTGGGCCCAGACTTTCAATGTAAAGGTACACCTAAAAGTGACAATGTAACTTTCTACAAGAAAAGGTGTCCAAGTACTGTAAAGCTTTGCAGATTTAATTCTGCCATGGCATGTGCTCACTTCCTTCTGCATCAAGAGATGATTGTTACAGGATAAGAGCTGACTGCACCACTGTGTTTCCTGTCTTTATTGAGTACGTGTTACAGTTATAAACCTATGGCACTAGCTTTTAAGGAGTCTCAAAAGCAGCATTTTAAAGTAGAATAAGTATTCGCTTTGTCTCTTTGCATTAATCATAGCAAGAGGTTGTAGGAGTGGCTTCAATAACCTTTTAGATCACTTTTAACAGTATTATGACTAACACTGAAACAACACACTCTGTGTCTAGTACAAGCCAATAATAGTTCCCTATTTAAAACAGGGATTAAATGTGATTCATTTCCTCTTTTATTTTCCTTTTTTAAATCTGACTTCAAAAAAAGTGTTGTTATAAAGATGCTTTAGAGTTCTAAGATGGAATTTTCAGTCTAACTTTCCTGAATCCCTGCCCATGCCAGCATAATCAGACACTGAGCATGCCTTATGTAGTTCAGTTGTAATGGTCCTTCTGCTCATCTGTAGATCTATAGAATGCATTAATGCACATAAAGGAAGATTCTGACTGAATGCACTGCCCCTTCCCCTGTTTTCTACCTTCCTTCCCAGTTTGAATACCAAACTATTCTTTGAAGTTCAGGACTATTAATTTTGGTTTCTGGACCACCATTTCCCCATCAATTAAATAACCCCATTAGCTAACACAAACTAAATATGTCTTCATAAAATTTTAATTTGTATATGTTTTCTTATTTTCCCCATGTTTATCTTCTTTCTTACAGTGACATTTCACAAGACACCTAAGTCAATCTAACAATTCACTGTTGCCATAGGAATACAGGATAGTCTTTGCTTCTGTCTGCCTGCTGATTTAGGGACCCTTGCACTGATTTATTCTCACCTCGGCAGGAGAAAAGAGAACTACCTCAGAACTAAAAACTCTAAACCAATAGTAGAGGAAAATCCAAGTCCCTGACATTTGGCTGCAACAAGCTGTTATATTGTTTCAGTCATGTTGTGAAACTTCATCTGTGTCAGCCTTTTTCCTTGTCATTGACTCATCTTTTCCTTCTTTCATCTCATTTCATCACCTACCCTCCAACCACTATTTCCCTCTCACCTCAGCTCCCTGCCTTCAGTTCACATTCCTCCTCAATTTAGGCTCAGAGAGAAAGCAATGGTGAAAAAGGATCTTTAATGCCTCCACACCAGTGGAGCCCTGACACCCCACACCTGAAAGCTGATGGAACTCAGCCCACTGGGAGGAGCTTTGCTAGTTTACAGCCACCCTAAACCAAGCACGGTTTATTCTGCACATGCACTTGGAGCCTTGGCTGGGTTTGTGTGTGCTGGCTGCCAGCTCTTCCCAGTGCCTTCCCTGCCCCCGTCAGCAAATTGCAAAGGAGCTTAGGAGAGATAAAAGTGTAAAAGGACTGAGCAGCTAAGGACTTTGGGTTTATTTTGTTTGAAAGAAACAGGCTGAGGGGCAATTTCATTTCTCTTCACAGCTCTCTGAGGAGGGAAAGCAGAGAGGGTGACGTGGATCTAGGACGTGGGAATGGTTCAAAGTTGTGCCAGGAGAGGTTCAGATTGGACATTAGGATTGGACATTTCTTTAGCAAGAGAGTGCTCAAACACAGGCTTCCTGGAGATGGGGTTGTTGTCCCAGGCCTGTCAATGTTCAAAAGGCATTTGGAAAGTACTGTTAACAACATGCCATGTAAGTGGCCAGGCAGTTGGACTCAATGATCATTGTGGTCCCTTCCAACAGAAATACTTCTATCCTATCCTATTGTGCTGATTTAGGCTGAGGTAGAGTCAATTTTCTTCACAGTGGCTGGTATGGGGTTGTTTTGGATTTGTGCTGAACATAAGGTTGATAATATAGAGATACTCTTGTTTTTGCTGAGCAGGGCTTACACAGAGCCAAGACCTTTCTGCTTTTTCTGCTGCCACACTGGTGAGGAGCCTGGGTGTGGCTGGGGGGCTGGGAGGAGACACAGCTGGGACAGGCAACCCCAACTGAGCAAAGGGATATTTCAGACCATAGAACATTATACTCAGTTAGGAAAGAAGGGAACATTTGGAATAATGACTTTTGTCTTCCCAAGTCGTTGTTACATGTGATGGAGTCCTGCTCTCCCAGAGATGGCTGAGAAACTGCCTGTCCCTGGAAAGGGGTGAATGAATTCCCTCTTGCTTTGCTTGTGCACACTGCTTTTCCTTTGCCTATCAAACTTCATCTCAACCCATGAGTTCTCCCGCTTTTACTCTTCCAATTCTCTCTTTGATCCCGCTGGTGGGGGAGAGAGTGAGTGGCTGTGTGGGCTTAGTTGCTGGCTGGGATTAAACCACTATACCTATCCTATCCTATCCTATCCTATCCTATCCTATCCTATCCTATCCTATCCTATCCTATCCTATCCTTCAGAAGTCAAGCTGCTTTAATCTCTGCCAAGCCTGAAGTTTAATCAGGCAAGTACCTCTGCCTGTTCCTCAGTGTTGAGGCAAGCACGGCAACGGTTCTGCAGCAGGAGCTTTTCCTTAGATAATGGCACTAGCATGATGCATTTTCTTCTGGGGGTAGAGGTTTGTCCTCATAAGGACATTTCAAAGACAAAGGCTAGAACATGGGCTGGTTTAAAGGGATTGTTCGTCCTTGGTGGCTTTGCTTTGCCTTGCTACCTGGCATGGCTCCAGTTGTGACTTGCAGCTACATAAGGAAGACAAACCAAATGACTTCATAACTACCTGGGGTCTCAGTTTCCTGGTATTAATAGGTTGTGCCACAGCCTTAAAATTAAATCTATTTCATTACTGATTATAATTAAGGCATAAAACTATACATTCAGAATGAATCATTGTGATGTGCTCCACTGTAAATAGCTACTTGGGCAGGACTTCCAATCAGTTTTGTGCAGTTAATAGACTGTGAGGGATTTGAGACAGTTGCTGCTCCCTTATATAGAGGGGAAATGAATTAGACAAGTCATGAAAAGTGTCCCAACAGTAGGCAAGGTAAAGGTTTCTATGAAATGTAAACACCTAGTATTTGCAGTAGACACGTCTGTGTTAAATACCTTGTCAGATTTTATCACAAAGTTACGAAACCCCGAAAAACATGCAACCGGAAATATAACATAGCAGCAATATTTTTACAGGTGCTTTTTCATTTTTGTAATGTATGACTGACTTTGAATATTATTGCTCAGCCTAGGGAATGTTAAGATAAGACCTGAAAAATGAAGACTTCATGAATTTAAACATGTCCTCAAGATCTCATTTCCCTTTTTTCCTGTTTCAAAAGGTACGCTCTAAATTTAAAAACAGTATAGATGGAAATACCGTCAC